CCTATCCTGGTCCTGGTTCTTGTAGTACAGGGTCACGGCAGTCCAAGCCCTGCGCAACCTAGAGCCCTGAATCAACCGATCATCACCGAGTTGCAACTTGGCCAAGAACGTGTCAACTTTCGACTCATCCTCAAAGAGGAACCGAAACTCCTCCAGGTTCTGAATCTTGGTAGCCAACAACGCCTTGGTCACAACGGGGTCCAACGAAAAATTTAGCCCTAAAGACTCCATGGTTTCCTGAATGGTGGTACTCTCCACCGGAACCAATCGAACACTAGTCATTTTCTCAAGGTAACTCCTCGTATGACTTGAACATTCAAAGCTGCTCACCCCCAAACATGCCTCCCGCATGCTGCACATCACCTGACATCCAGGGACAGAAGGAGGTGACGGGGGGGGTAAGACAAGAACTCCCCTGTTCCTCAGGGGTACGACAGACTGTATCCTAGTCTCTATCCCCGGCACACATCATGTAGCTTGTCCTCACAGATACCTGTGTAAGCTACCTCATGACCTACCGGTAAGACTAGTTATCACAGCCTATCATGATTCCATCCTCCCGGATGTTGATGGGGCCCTTTTCCACGCAGAAGTCAAGCTCTCAAATGGTTCAAATGCATGTTAGCCTACGGGCAAGCTATGGACCACATTGATCAGCTTACCAAAATCGGCCCTGTGCGTCTCTTATTCAAATGAATTCTGGTGCGCCACTCCTGACAAGGTCAGCGTGGATGCCAGCTCGCTGCTGCTCGCACCAAACAACCATCACAAAAAGCGCGGCCCCAAGCCATAGCATGTCCTGCGTCGTCATTGGCTTCACCAAGCGGATTGCACGCTCGGCAGATTGCCTGTGGGAGCAGAGGGTCTGGCCGTTGTTGAGCTCCAGATGAACCTTTGAACGAAGTGTCGCAATGTAGCCGCAGGGCTCTGGGAACGGGTTCCTGAGGGAGCTGGTCCTGAGAGTCGTGTCCACCCACGACCTCATCCCCGCCTCATGGATGATCCCCGGGATGTCCAACGAGCGCCTGCAGCTCTTCACGTAGGCCACTGCAACATCCCAGCTCTCCTGGGCTAGCAGCGCACGGAACACACAGCCCCCAATACCTGCTCGATGGCGCCCTGATAGGCAATGGATCAGGGCCGATTCGCCTGCATACATCGTATTGCGCAGCAAAGGCTAGACTTCTTCGAAGTCCCTGTTCCTGGAACCACCATGGGCCACACACAGGTGTTTCAAGAGGGCATCTGTGAGCACCACTCCTCCTCTGGATGATGGGGCTTCGGCCATGCACGCAATCTGAAGGGTAACTCCCTTTGGAAAGCGGTTTGCCGTGTTCTTGGTTGGACTTCCACTCAGCCACAGCTTGCCCCCTGCCCTATTCTGATAAATAAGGCTCGGGCTCTCCGCCGTCTTGCCATGGACTGTCGCCAACCTGTCGAACTTCTGGTCGGGCCCTCGAGTATCCAGTGCCTCTGGGATCGGAAGGTCCTCCTCCTCGACTTCGACTTCTTCCTCTTCCGAACTGGTCTCCAGGGCTGGCAATGGCGCTGGAGGTGGAGCTGGGGCTGCTTTGGCCTTCTTCGCTGGCGGTGCCTTAGACGGCGGCCCTTGTGGGGACCGTGGGCGCCTCACTGACGCCTTAGGAGGGGCAGCTGGCTCCGGAGGTCGCTCCTCCGTGGATTTGCTAGTAGGCTTGGCCTTAGCAGATCCCGAACCAGGCCCTTCGCCAGCCATCTCCTCCACCTTGATGAACTTCTTGTCGTGGCATTCACATGCCGGATGGCCTCCACCGCAAACTCGTCCAGCTTTGCGCAGAATGGCGCATGCATGGCGACCAGGGCACGCCTCCTTCTCCAAGGGGCAAGACCTTGTCTGAAAAGCCCCACAAATGGGTGCTCCATTCTTCATGAATGCGCTCAGCACCTTCCCATTGAGAGATGCCGGCATCGCAGACAGGCCACCCTTGGCTTGTGCCTCTTCTCGTTTGAGCTTGAGAGCCTCCGACAGCTGAAAACGCGCCTGCATCTCAGCCTTTGTCAAAGGAGCTGCCCAAATGACCCTGGATTCCTGCTTCAGCACCTTGTCCACGTTCTGGCGTGCATACTCCAGGGCCTCAGCGTAGGTCTCCGTAGGGATGGTCTCCCATGACTCATGGGCAAGCAGCTTTTCCATAGCCAGCCTCACAATGTGCTTGGTCCTCAGCGAAGACTCATACCTGGCTGCACTGTAGTGCATAGGCATTGTCGCCTCCTTCGGGATCTGGGAACGATCTGCCCAGTCCCCCAGTGAGCATAGCTCGAGAGGCGTCAGCTTCATCAAAGTGCCCACTGTAGGTGCTGCTCGTCGCCAGGAGTAGGAAGACAAATCCTCTGTATTCTGGACCAAGTGCTCCAAGACCTCACGATTGAGCTCGTTGACGAACTTCAATGTGTATGCGGTGCCCTCCGCGTCAAAGCATAACCCTGAAGCGGCTTGCTTAGTCTTATCCAGACTGCTGTAGTCCCTGAACAAGGCCGAGCCCCAAGCCCATCCATTAACGAATGTAGCCGGAATGCTGAAGGAGAACCCGCCCCTGTTGGCCTTCTGCTTCCCCTTCGTGCAGTAGCCATGAAAGGAGCTGGGGGTCACTTTGACTGGCCTGGCACGCATGATGTGCTGGTATCTCAGGACACCAAAGGTAACCAGCCAGCTGGACAGCAAGCCCCTCCAACGCGGGTCCCCGGCTTCGTACAACGATTGAATCTTCTCTTCAAGCGCTGCAATCATTGGGGGCTCAACTGCAACAGCCTGTTCTGGGTTTGCCTGTTTGGGTGGATTCTTACGAGCTGGGACTGGTACATCACTGAAGTCCCATTGCAACCGGCCATGTTTGGAGAACCACTTCAAGGAGTGAAAGGCTCGGTAAGGCCCCGACGTGCCGTTCTGCAAGAAGCCATAGAGGTCCAATGCATCCGGCGGGAACAAGCGGTCCTTCTGCTCCATGTAGGCCCGCAACTCAGCCCAGGACTTCAGGGCATTCACCACCGTCGCTCCTTCGGCCTCTGTGACCTTCCGCTTAGACAAAGTATCCAGAGCGTCTTGCCACTGAGCGTACTTCTCCGGGGTCAACTCCCCTTGAGGACGCATGACCTTGGCTTGAGAGAAGGCCTTCCTCAATGCCGCAGCTCGCAGCAGCACCGTCTCTGGTTGGTCTGGGCCTGGCCGGACTCGAAGAGCTTGGACCATCTTGCTCTTCTTCATCATGGACGCCTTGGGCGCAGGCCATGTCGTTGGCCGATCTCTGGAGCCCGGGCTCTCAGCCACGGCAGCCGCTTGAGGGATGAGGTCAGCTTCGGCAGTTTTGGAGCGCGCTTGCAACCACGCATCTGCCACATGGTGTCCTCCATGTGCCACTGCGCTGTCATAGGATGCAAACGCATAGGCGAAGTCAGTCTCATCATGTAGTCCCCATTGAGCTCGCCACTGTTCAACACGGGTGGATGCCACCCTCTCCATCGCCGTCTCTGCACAAGGTGGAGCCTCACCAGCAGCCTGCACCGCATAGGCTCCTGGGTGGTATGCCATGGCGACGCCTGACACCACCGCCGCCAAGGTTCGGAGCGTACGGGCTGGGCCTGAAACTGCAGACCACACCTCAGTATCATCAGGTAACAAACAAACATCACTAGGCCGCAGCTGCTGCAGATGGGTCTCGACGCAAGACGGGGTGACATCCTGGACACTGGGAGGGTGGACAGGTACTGCACACAGAGGAGAAGCATCGCTCACAGAGCTCAGGTGTCGGCAGTCCACAAGCCCTGCAAGGTGGCAAGGGTTCCTCCCCAGCCTCCATGGCACCAAGCCAACCCCATAACGACCGAACTGCTCTGGCCCGTGGTGCTCTCCACGCAACCAGGTCAGCCGGGATGGGCACCAGGGATGGGTCCCTCCATCCACGCTGTGGGGATTGCCAGGTCCTCCACACATCCCAAAGTTCGGTGAGGTCGACCATGCTATCGGCATTGTGCTCGATGAAGGCGACCAAACCAAAGATGTTGTCCGGCGCAAAGTCCCGAGCCGTCCAATGAGTCCGCAGCGGCTCGATGAGTAGCAAATCCAGCTTCGCCTCGCCCAGGCGATCATAGTAGGATTGCCACGCACGCCGCGGGTCACTCCCGGGCAGAGCCAAGACAGCTGAGCTGTTCCATGTGCCGATCCAAGGGAACTTGAATCCTCCCTGATACTCAGTACACCTCCTACAGTTTTCTTCCATACAAGGTGACCGTCTGAAAGGGGGAAGTCCCTGCACCCCCAACCCAATTGGATGTGGGGGGAAATGGTCAATTTGGCACACAGAAGCCCACAACCGGGTGGCCTCTGCCACCAAGCCCTGCTGGAGTAGGCCCTCCACGTGCGTCTTGAACTCGTAGTAGGCCGCCGCATGAAGCAGCTCCACATCCGTGTGGGCAGCCTCATTCCAACCGGGCCGAACGACGATGGAGGCCCTTGGCATCGGGGGGGTGACCTCCCACCTTCGAACCTCTGTACTCTAGGGTAACGCCCTAGTAGAGGAACGAGAAACCACTGAACCTAGGGTAACTCCCTAGAAGTGGCGTGGGTACCCCAGCAAAAAGAAAGAACGATGAAGCCAGTTTGGCTCAGACTTGAGCCAAAATGGATTCATCAGCTTACATACTCACCCTAATGATAATGCACACCCAGTGCCTGCCAAACACGATGCATACATATATACATATGTTTTTGCATATATATATATACGTATATCTGGACACGGCGTGCAGCCAATGTTTCAATCTCGCAACACGCCCTTGAGGTTGATGCTCGAACAGAAAAGGGGGAGAAAAAAAGCGGAGGTCAAGTCTCCAGTGAATGACTCTGCGGGGAGGGAAGGACTAAGACGTTGCATGACGTTGCGCAAGCAAAGACTCAGCAGCTTTCGCATCAAGGGTTTTTGACGTCACACATGTAGTGGAAGGAATCAAGTCGCTGTATGTTGCTGTCAAATGCTGTCAAGGCTCTCAAGACTTCTTGCCAAGCTCAGCAGGTTCAAGCCATGTCCCCAAACCCGTGCTGGCTGCAAACGAAGCCGAAGAGCATCACCAGCCTCCTGTCCAAGTCCAAACATTGCGCATACCCTTTGAAGTCAAAGACATGTGCGAAACAACCACCCTGCATAGCTATTTGATATTCCAATTTCAGCGATACAACCAATGGGAATTCCAGGATCCTAAATTGGAGGTACTGTACCATATAAGGCCATATTTTGTGGGGATATTCCCTTACATAGGCCTTATATAGGCCTTATATATGGTAGGTACCTCCAATTTAGGATCCTGGAATGGCCATTGATACAAACGAGAGACCATTCTCTTCAATCTAGTAACTAGTACCAGAAACCTGTCAAAGTCATTTCCAGCCGCAGGACTTCATCAAATTCATGGCCCAGTTCAGATCGGCAGCAATTGCTTCTGGAGTGTTGAGACAAGCTCTGTACAGAGGGAACAAAGTCAGACACTGCTCTAGGGCCTGGCTTTTGGAGAGGCTGGCCATTTCACAACAGCAGCACCACAGCGCTGAAAGGGACGAGAGGTCCAACAAACCTGAGCTATTTGTCAGCGATTAATCTGTTGCAAAACCCTCAGTTGATGCTCCGAAGTACGTCAAGCGGCAGTGCCAGGTGGTGCATTTGGAGATGACAACTGTTTGACTGTTTGACTTACTGACAATTAGAAGCTGAATCTGCACACCTTTTGCAATACTGAATCTGCAAATCTTTTACAATATCTGTATGGAAAAGGACTGCTCCTTATCATACTCTTAGAGTTGGCTGAAGAAAAGGAAATGATAAAACGAGTCTGGCTTCCATTTCAACTCAAAGTCACATGGCAAAAACGTCACCCAAAGAATTGCCAAGTCTGTCCAGTCAAGCATTTCAGCAGCTGCAGCATGGCACGTAGGGGTGCTGCCAGTCGCACTCAAAAAGTTCGTGGGAACTGAAGTGTTCCAAAGCGGTGCTACAGTTACAGTACCATAAGTATGGATTCATTCAAAGCCTGGCACTAGGTTGAATGAACAGTTCTGTTCGTGCCCATAGGTTCAAACGTTTCCGCGGAGAATGGATTTGCGTTGTGTGCAATATCTTGATTTTGAGCCGTTTCTGCAAGCTGAAGTGAGCAAAACCTCCAAAATGCTACTGGTGATTCTGTGAAGGCATGCGTCAGGTGAAGGCGAATTGTGTCCCACAGTTAGTAGATTTCAACTGGTTTCAGAGTTGTTGATCATGAATCTTCAGGTAAAGCCTACTTCACTCGAATTGAACAGTTCAACCAGAACACAATTTCTGTCAATTTCTTGTGTTGTTACATGATTTGAGAAATTTAGAGTAATATTTTTCGACTGTCCAGGTCGACATGGTCTCTACAAGAGCGGTTTGGCTACCCCTTATTGTCAATTTTGCATAATTCCGCACCCAAATACGTAACAAATACGTAACAAATACGTAAGAAATACGTAAAATATATTAAAATATCACCAGGTTATCACCACGTCCATGGCCTTCGCGGGTTTCCACCTCTGCAGCTGTGCGCAGCTGGAAGCGCCGACGACTCCTGTCGCCGTACTTGTGGGAGATGGGGGTTGCTGGGTCGTGACTCTACAAGGAGAAAAATGTCAAAGGAAAGTGCATTGGGTTGGAAATTGCGCTGTGGGGTGAGTCTGTGCTTGATGGTGCAAAGCATGGATAATCCGTAGAGGGGACCCGTCAAGCCGAAATGCTATTTTGTCAAAGACAGAGCACAAACGGTTTTCGATGGAATCAAATTGACAGCACTGATGTGGGTTTTCCATGGTTTTCCTGGAAAGTGGCATCCAGCATGTGTTGAAAAAGGGATATAGGGCCAGTGTTGGGTCACATGTAGAGTTGTACCGCTGGCCCACCTTCGCTCTGAGCCTGGCAAGTGCAAATTTTGACGTCGCAAAGAAATTCAGACTGCTCAAGCTGACCCTCAGTTGGGCTCTAACTTCCTCACATGCGTATTCAATCATATTCATATGAGCGTTAAATTGTCTCACAGCTTGTCACAGCTGAAGGATTGACCCGTTTTTTGATTGTGTAGTTGGACGTAGTTGGTAGTTGCTTAGAAATTTAGACCTCCTATTCTCAGAATAGGCTTCGGGGTTTTTGCCCCTATAGGTGCCCGAGCAAGCATGTTTGCCCTGCTCTCATGTAGCAACCTTGACTTTTCAGAAATTGTCACCTTCTGCCGTGCTTGCTTTATCTTGAAGACTTGAAGGCATAAAACGTCGTCAATGTTCATTGAAAACTGTCAAGCCGGGCGAAGAATAAGAATGGCAAGAAGACCTTTATTACCCAAAGATTGTTTTTTTCCAACTCAGCCTTCAATTGCACAAAGAGCTACAGCTGCCAGCACCAGCCTTCGCTCTCTTCCGTCCGGCTCCGAGTTGCAGGTGGCACATCACCTCCTGCAAGAATGGTTTGTCATTTTGCATCAAGCATTGCGCACCATGTCATGTCCTCATTAAGCTCTGCTTTGGATATTGACCTGGTGCGATGTTAGATCTCAATTTGCGATGCCATCCTTGCCGTTACATGACGTCAGGCACTCATGTCATTCTTTGATCTCACTTGGTGAGTTCTATGATTCAAATCTTTTTGAAGCGTTGTGGCATTATTCCAGCATGTCTTTCTGGGCTGTCAAACTATCATGCCACTCTATAGTACCAATCTTTAATACAGGATGTCATTCCATGGCCCTCTTTTTCCTCCATGAAGTATGTCATTCCATCATCTAAGATGTCCAAGTAAGCTGTCATTTCCAGTGTGCATCTTGCATCATTTTGCTACACTATGTGCATCAAGCATAGCACTGGCATTCCATAATGTTTTGATAGAGCAAAGTGTTTTACCAAAGTGTTCTGTTCCTTCCTTCGGGGTACCTCGCAACAGACACAACGGTTGCAGATCTGGCGGGGCCTCGACCTCTGGAGCGGCGACGCCGCCGAGAGCCCTGCATGGTGCGTTGTGCAGGGACATCTCAGAGGGCCATGACGACCGGTGCTATCCGGTGCTGCTGTGTATCACGCAATTCTGCCAGGGAAAAGTGAAACAGTGATGAAACGGGTATTGCATGTTAGCAGTTGGACATTTTGCAGCATGTGATGGTGCTTTACGCTTTTCAATTTGATTTTGGTGTGGAAGCCCACGAGCCTGACCATTTTCTTCGCCACCTGGAGCCGTCCGGTTTCTAGCTCCGATACTGCACTCGCTCAAATTTTTTTCTGGCACAACCTTTCCTTCCAAGAAAGTGATGCCTTTTGCACCCGTCGCTCACGAGATGTGTGCGTGTGTGCGTGAAAGATGTATACTGTAAACTCCTATATTAATCTATATTATATGATTGTTATATGATCATACAAGCCAGGTTCTAGGATCTTGTTTGTTTCACTTGGAGGAAGGTCCAGTGGCATCAAGCAAACGCTGACTAGCAAAGCTATGCCTGGTGGTGAATGCAGTGTCTGATCAACTGTGTCAAATCTTAGCATGGATGTCAGTTGACACAACTTGCAAGATTGACCTAACTAAGATCTTGATGTCTCATGCATTAGGGATTGATTTTCGAACCTGCAAACCGCCCGCTAAACAAGAACCATGCCACGCGTCCCACGCTGGGTGCTTGCACTGTCTCTGCGTTCCTTGAGGCGCTCCGCCTCTGCTTTCGGAGCTTGTCAAAACCATCCAAGAAGGTGAGTTAACATATGTGAACATGATTCAACAAGATTCAACAAGATTCAATGACCAAAACAGGGATTTGGCCATCACCGCTTAGGATTTAAATATCTTGAACATAGGAGAACCTTCTGCGGGGTGAAGTTCCCGGACAGTTGAAATCATCAAAAAATCTCTAAACATTCTATACTCAGCTCCCCGGACTCTTTATATCCGACTCCAGCATGGCCCTTTATTTCAAATGATTTCACAATATATAAGTCAAATGATTTCGGAGAAATAGCAACTACTCAAATCACCGTTCTTGTGGCTGACGACTTACTGATACTGCAAATGTGCAAGTTTGGACCTTGCAACTTCAGGTGTTGTCAATGTGCGATGAACTGCCAGCTCCACTATTACACTCTGTATTGAATGCTGATGTGTAGTGGTACCATGCAAAGGCGTTTGCATTCCTGCGTGGAACAAACTGGACATCAGAAATGACCTTGACGTGCCCAAACCTGGCACCCAAACCCTTTTTGGTCACTAGCAACTGCATGCAGCAATCCCGCTTGATTGTCAAGCCGCTTCAGGGCTTGACATCTAGAATCAGTTAATTGTTGGGGGCAGTCTGTACCTGTACAATTCTCTGCAAGTGTCATTCTCTGCGAAGAGGAGCCTCTGTTGGCTAAGAGATCCTTTCAGGCTTAGACCCTGGTTGTAGATCCGTGGAAAGAGCAGCAGCGCGTGCCATATTTGATCAACTTCCTGGCGAGAGGAACGTGGCTCCATCGCTTCAACCATGTTTTGCACCGGCCAGGCCTCGCAACATCTACAGTGAATCTACAGACTCAAGGGATCTCAAGGGACTCCAGAGTCTTGGCGCGGCTCGCAGTTCACTGCAGGAAGAAGTGACTGGCCTCGATCAGCTCAGGGCAGTGCCCAAGTCAAACAAGAAGGAGTCATCCCTGGGCTCCAAGCAGTGGGACTCACCAACTCTGATCACTTTCTCGAAATATCTGATCACTCTCTCACCTCACGGCCGAACCATCTGAGTTCCTCCAAAATCGACCCATTTCCTCTGCAGTTTTGGCTGAAGTTACTCCCCCTTCATCATCTCCACAAAGGGTAAAGAGTAGGATGGACGGAACCACGCCGATCGTTGTCCTTTGCTGAACATTGAACTTCGTCCGCTTGCCAGTCAGACTCTTGACCAAGACCTGCATGGTTTCGACCCAATAGGCCGGATGCCACAGGATGCCACAGGCTTCCATGATCTGAGGCTGAACTTGAGCCACAACTTGAGCCAAGTTGACTTGGCACCCAAGCTGACCCAAACTGACCCTGGCACCTCTTCCAGATATCCACTGATCTTTGATCTTAGCCGGGACGCTTGAGCATCTTCCTGGAGCGAGAAGTGCACATTCTAGATGCAATTAATTAAACATATGTATGTATGTACATATATGGTGACGAACAATTACTTAGAACGTATTTGGGAAAAAATGTTTTTTGTTCATCAGAGCAGGTAGGACGTTCTAAGTGCTACTTTTTGAACGTAAGAAAATCATGACTTAGAATGTGGTGGGACCCAAAATTCATCACTTAGAACGTACCCAAAATTTAACACTTAGTACGTGTCTAGGTCAATGATGATAGTGGGAAAGGCTTGTGAAATCATGTTGCCGCACTCTGCGAAGCCACTCAGGGACCAAATAGACATGTATTGGTGAGGCACTTCAAGAAGCTATGTATATACGTGTGCATACGTATGCTGACAATTGTTTACAATTGCATACCTCCTAAGTGTTGGTTTACGTTCTAAGTGTTGAATTGGCCCCTACGTTCTAAGTGTTGGTTTACGTTCTAAGTGTTAAAAATACGCTTACGTTCTAAGTGTTGATTTTATGCCTACGTTCTAAGTAGAAAAAATGAAAAAAAAACGTTCTAAGTAATTGTCCGGCGCTGTAATGTTATGTATAATATATATATATATATAATTAAAGCAAATTAAATTGTACTATATTATACTATGTTATTATATTATAGTATAGTATAGTCAGTATAACATTATAGTATAGTATATTATACTATATTCTATTACATTATATTATATTACATTATATTATATTATATTATAGTATATTATATCATATTATATTATATTCTGGTAGTATATTATGTTATAGTATAGTATAGTATATTGTATTATAGTATAGTATATCATTATAGTACATTATAGTATAGTATACTATATTATATTATACTATACTACATGATATTATAGTATAGTATATTATATTATAGCATAGTATATTATATTATAGTATAGTATATTATATTATGGTATAGTATATCATAGTATATTATATTATAGTATAGTATACTATATTATATTATAGTATACTACATTATATTATAGTATAATATACATATTATATTATATCAAATTATACTATATTATATTATATTATAGACAAAAGGGGGGTCGAACCAAAGATGTTCCTACCACAACCCTTTACCATAAACAAAACAAGTAGAACCGCAAGCACACTTTTGTGCACTTGAGCCATAGGGTCGATAGCATACTTAATTATACCCCTTTACCCAGGTGGTTGTTAGGGTGAAGGGGAAAGTATCTAGCTCTACCTAGGGCTACTCTCCTTATCTATCGCTTCTAGATAAGGGGTGCTATTCTGTACATGATTGGAATAGCTAATTGGTGTGTTGGACTCATAGCTAAGGCATAACTACCTACACTGGACCTACTACCTATGCTGTACATGGTGGGGCTCAGGGGTCGGTATATTTCAACTCCCCCCTCGCCTGTTCCACACGCACTGCGCATTGGCAGTATCCTAAGCAACTACTGTCGCGTGAACGGGCGTTCACAGCGACCTATGCTTTGGATTTAAGGTCTAAGGGGAGGTCAGTACGTATTCCTAGAAGGATTAGTGCTGCTGCCCATTTGTGTGGAGGCAATGCCTTGGTGAATATGTCTGCCGCCTGGTCATCGGTGTGGGTGTACTCTATCTCGGCAGAGTCATCTCTGAAGACTTCAGACAGGCAAGACAAATTAACTTTGTGTGTTCTAGTTATATGGCGAAGCTTGGGACTATATCCTTTCTTCACAACTAGGATTGTTGCTTGATTATCTTCGTGGACCTTAAGGGTTACGGAGCGTGCAAGCAACAGCTCCCATAACTGTAAGGCAGGCAAGCCTTCTTGATAAAGCGAATGGGCTAAACTAACAACCTCGCTTTCCGTGGTCGATCTAGAAGTGGATGTTTGGCGCTTGCTAATCCATGCAAGTGGGAAGAAGGAACTAGGGCCAGTTAAAACCAAAAAGCCACCGGAGGTTGAGCGTGCAGTTGATCTGTCGCCGGCGAAGTCGGCATCGACAAACAGTCTGAGCTCTAGGTCTTCAGGCTTGTCCTGAATGGTACCTACTAACCTGTAGTGTGGGGTTGAGGCTATGTACTGGATTAATCTTAGGACCTTCTTATCATCCCCCCTGGACCACGACTGGACCTTTGTGGCCAGATCATTGATAGGCTTGATGATGTCGGGACGTGCAAGTCTACCTAACCAAAGGGCTTTCATCAAAATCTTACATGCGTTTGGAGCTAGTTCCCCTTTAGTTTCATCATCTTCAATGGTGATGGATCCCTCAGGCGGAAATGGCGTGGCAGCATGTTTGAGTTTGGTGACACCAGTTATTGATTTATACAAATCTACGGTCTGCTGAGCGTAGTCTGCCATATCAAAAACCATGCCATCTTGGGCTTGGAAGGCTGCACATTTCTCATGACCTTCGGTCTTGGATAGTGGGGTAACAACATGGTTGCGTCCAAGAATCCTATAGATGGGCTCTGGGGTTCGATGTCTACCACAGAAGTTAACTTACTCCAGAATGCATCATGCTGGTCGGCGGGGCCAGCTAGAGTTAAATCGTCTACATAAGTTGACAGAAGTAACTTTGTATCTGGGAAGTAAAAGTTTCCTGGGTATTCTGGAACTTCCTGTCCACCAAGGTTCTTGATGATGACTTTCAGGTGTTGTTCCCACAGGCCTCCGGCATCAGGATGACCGTATAAGGCTTTAATTAAGAGGACTACGGGCTTAACAAACTGTTGTTTCCAATACTTAGGGCGGAGCTCCGGGGGAAGCTCAATCCAAGTTTTGTATTTGGAAGATAACAGTGCTTGGACGTAAGCTTTGACTGCATCTGCAGCCGTCGCGCGGTTACCCGGCAGCGACCCGTACGCCAAGCAGGCGTTTAGCCCTTGGACGGAGGTGGGGTTTGCGCCGAGTTCTTGGTAAACCGCGGCTGCACCATGTTCGTCCTTTGCGCAGTCTCCTCTGTACACAATGCGCCCCTTCATTTTGTGAAGGTGGTCTGCAAGCTCGTAGAATTTAATGGACGCGATGGTCATGAGCTGACCAAAGTGCACTGACACACCCGAAGCCTTAGCTTCTTTGCGTACATCTTCCTTCTCGCGGACCGAGCTAAGATCCCAAGTACCAGCCTTAACCAAACCATCGGCTTCGGCGCGGATTGCCTCGAGGGCCTTGGGATTGGACAACATCCCTGCACGGGACAAGAGCTTAGTGACCATAGCTTTGATCTCAGGCGTTGGCGCCTTGGGGTCTTCCAGGTGGAAGGCTTGGGCGATCAATTGTTCATGGTCAAGAAGTTCTGTAACCAACCTATTAGCAGTGGGGTCTGATTCAACAGCTAGGGCTAAATCTTCAAAACCAGCTAATGGGGATACGTGCTTAAGGTGCTGCTCAATTTCCCTATGGATTTGAGGCTCGCTGGTTGCCGGTCGGCAAGGCATAGCAGGAACAGGCTGCTGGGCACATTTTGAGGGATACAAAGCTTGCGCAATTAAATTAGTCATTTGGGGCGGATACATTGCGGAGCGCGTGGTCTCAGCTCCCTCACATCTGGAATGGGGTTGCTGGCACCGACACCGCATGTCTTGAAACGCCTCTACAATTCGGGGAGAGGTGGTCTTGAGCTTCCATGGCTTTTTGATGGGATAACCATTTCTGTCGGTTAAACCTACGGTACACCCTTCAAAACTAACGGTCATAAACTGGGGATGTTTCTCAAAGAATGCTACAACGTCAGGCCTTTTCCAGCCAGAGCAAGGTCTTGGCCATTCAAACGTTACAGTACCACCATGATTGAGAACCCTTTCAGCGCGTTTGGAAAAACTCTTAAACAACCGTTTGGACTCTTTGACCTGGCGGGCAAGCTTCCTAATGAATGCGGCACCACCCCTCTTCCTATTGATGTACTGCCAAGGGGATCCGGATGTGCAAGGGATAGAGGCCCACATGTGTGGAGGTGCAACCTTAGCGGCTTCATCTATCTGATAGTCTAGTTGCTCACATTGTGACTCATCTCCCAGGTCTATCCTATCCTTACAAAGTCTAACATGATTAATGCCATATTCTTGGTGAGTAAAACCCATCTGGGAGTCCTCAGAACAAGCAAACTCAAACATGGTTGACTTGGCATTGGGTCTGGAAGCTTTCTTGGCAGCTTTCCGGCTCCTACGATTATCGCGGTTAGTTGGCTTACCTACAGCGGGGCAACCAAAAACAGGCAGCGATTTCTGACATAGGTCGGAACATCGATTGGCAACTTGGGGAAGAATAGCTACACCAGAAACAGAAACAGCAGGCTCGGCTGGAGCGCTGGGTTCGGACGACCCTGGTACCTCACCTCTTATGAAGATTTCCTCAACCAATGCTCTGTCCTCTGCGGAGAGGTGAGATGGTATCGGATCGGGATCAGGCAGATCCTCACCCTGGAAGATGATGCCATGTGCTTCATCATCGTTGTCTTCTGCTTCTGTCTCACTTGTGGGAGGTGGAGCTTTCTTTTCCTTTTCGGCTTCTTTCTCTTTTTCAACCAACATTGAGAAGCGGGCTCTGCACTCATCAGTGTGCACGCGCGAATGGCCAGTGCAGCCTTTGCAACCGGGGGTCTCTTTCCACTTAAGGATACGGTCTACGGTTATATAAACAGAACGACTTTTGAGACCTGGTGTAGAGGGTGAGGCTATTCCGCCCTCCTTGGGGAAGGGCACATCCTTTAAGGCATATTCAGGCAACTTAAGATCATCTGGGTTATCCCCCCTGATGAGAGCTTGGTGGCGTGAAAAACCTACTGGAAAAACAGGATCACCTTCAGGGACAAAGATTTCTGCTTCTGGAACATCAACGGCTGAATTCCCACCTCTAGTGCGATACTCTTGGT